TTTCATAAAAATAAAAAATGTAAATTAACGCAGTTTTGAAACTTAAATGTTAATAACTCAAGCAGCGTTCATCACAGAGTGTCGAAAATTGATCAGGAAGATTTTTTGCCTTCGAAAATGATGTCCGGCCCTCAGAATGACCTCTAACATGAGCAGCAGCGATTTCCGAAAAATGACCTTGAATGACCTTGTCCTTGAAACATAAAAAATGAATGTCCCCCAAACTCACTGCATTCGATTCCCAGGTCAAAGGTATGTCTGGTTGCAAAGTTATTGGCGTTCAACATCTTACTAAGTAGCTGAATAGCCCTGTACATTAGTAATGTTGCAAGATAAAAATGTAAAGACATTTATTTCAATTGTATTGCTTTTGTCTTGTTGTGAGACTTTTCCTTTAGATAATCTTGTTTACCATGTTGTTGGTCTGTCTCAACTGTTCACATGAAATATTAATGTTGTATCATTGGTAAGAGTGCAAAGGCAAGAGTTTAACCAGAAAATTGTTCAACTTCGATTCGAGTTTTGCTCTTCTATTGAGACAAATTGCTTTTAATTAAATTCCTTGCAACGAATCTGTAGACATGTAAATTCATCTTACTTGACTTTAAACTCTTATTGAACTTGCAGGGGAAAATTGATTATCTTGAAATGAACCAATGGTTGGGAGCAAAGAAATGGAAATGAATAAAAGTGAATATTTTTCAGCCTCATTTTTGCCATCTATTAGAACTGATTATTCAGATTATATTACAAGTTGATTCCTTGCTGACTGTTTCTTCTGATTAAATGGTTTACCTTTATTACAGTTGTTTGCTATACCAAAGTTGCCATGTAAATGTCACTCTCACCGTAATATCCAAACAAGTGGCAAGATAAATATGTAAATGAATTATTAATGTAGGTATTGAGTTGAGGAAATTATCATAATCAGAACAAGAATAATTATAAACATTATACAGCTGTATCGTTGAACATTGCAAGGGATTATTTTTCATGGAGAAATGCTATTTTGGCTTCATTCTTCAACAATTTTTCAAATCAATTTTCCTGTTATTAGCGGGTTTGGCAAAAAAATCAATCAAAAAGATTAATAATGTGAAGGAAAATGCTGAATAACAAATGCTTGGTGAAAACAAGAAATGAATATTTTTCAGGGAAAAACATTGATTAATTTTTCCTCTTTATACCTTTTATTCAAGATTAAAGTGCATCGATTGTCTATTTTATGCAAATTGTGATGATCAATAGCGATATTGGTGTGTTACAGACGCGAATAGGAACCAAATGTTTAATTAAAATATTCATGTTCCTTATAATGGAAAAAGTTTATGAATTTAAATCTTGCGATTTTTTGCTCACATTTTTCTTTCCATTCAAAATTTAATCAAGTTTTGAAAATATTTTGTCTTTTTATCCTTTGCACACTTTAATCTAACCAATGAATAACTTTGCTCGTTATTTGGCAAGTCTTTTATGAACAGGCTAAAGTTTCAATTGTAAGCAACTTATTAGAAAACTATTAAAGATTGCAATAACTTTTAGTTTAGTCGATGCTCCCATAGTATTTTGATGCCTTCTGAGGTCAACCTATTTTAGATACTTTTATGGCCCTTTACGGAGAAATAGATTTGTTGAGTTTTTGCTGGAAACTTTCCTGATTCATCGCGACGCACATAGTGGCACAGTGCTTCTAAATGTCAATTTCATTCTTTAAGGCACAACTTTGTGACAATAGAGATGGCTTGAGTCAGAGACAAATTGAATGTTGAAATTTATTTGGTTATTTCGCTATATAGTAATGGATAGGATTAGATATTAGACTGAGTTAGAGATGATGTCTGGATCTCTGAAGTTCATTGAGCTAAATGTGTATCATATGGTTAATTTGATCATGAATGTTTCTGCTTTTATTCAGAAATGGACAACTGCAATGTTTCAAGTTGAGATAAATTGAATTTCTAAACTGATTTGATCCGTTAACAGAAAATGCACTTTAAATTTGAAAAAATAATTCATTCTCAAACTTTTTTTCTAACCCATTCATTTAGTTGCCTGCAAGTGGAGCCTCTTTCAATCCTGCTAGAGCTCTGGGACCAGCATTTGTTATGAACAAGTGGAAACATCATTGGGTAAGTCAACATTGAAACCTTGAACATTGCTTTTTCATTGTATTAATCCATTGCAATACAAATTTAGGTCTACTGGATTGCACCGATAACAGGCTCAATGCTGGCTGGATTAATATATGAATTTATATTTGACTCAAGAAAGAGCAAAACTCTGCGAGATGTCATCGATGACATTGACAAAGGTAAGTTGAGAAAATCTTGTCTTGATAAATTTATTTGAAAAGTTCACTCATCTAACCTTATCTCACACTTTTCTCCAAATTTTCATTCATCTTTTTAAATTAAATTCAGATTGCAATGACGACCATTATGATGAGCCCGAAGTCAAGATGACCAATAAAACCATCATGGGTTTCCCTTTGAGTGCAAGTTCCCATTCAAATTCCGGAAGCAGTTCAAGTTCAACTCATCAATCAAATACAACTGGTTACTCAAGCATAAATAGCAATCCTCATCACCATACTTTGACCCATCATCAACACCATCCAGGACTACCTCAATACCCAACCTCGGGTCTAAACAGTTCACCAGGAAACAGCTTTCAACACACCGTGTTGACTCATGACGGTCTCTACCCAGCCAATCAAACTGTAACCCTTCATCCTCACAGCAACCTAACGAGTGTCATCACAGGCACAAACAATATCAATAATAATAATCATAATAGCAATAGTAATAATAATAATAATAATAGTAATATAAATACCTCAACCAATTCAAATAATCATCATGCTCATAATAGCATTATGAATAGCACTAATAACCATGTGACTCCATTGTTGTCATCTTCATCTTCCTCTTCTTCACCATCAGCAGCCTCTGCGCCGTCCAATTATCATCAATTCAACGCATCTTATGCTGGAATTTATGGAACTCGAAATTCAACATTGCGCCATTTATCAAACAGAATGGATTACAATAATGTACGAAATGAGATAACACCAAATAATATCAGTCAACCTGGAAAATATTAAACTCATGAAGAGAGTTCAATGATAATGATATCTAAAATTGTCATTATGATTACGTTTAATTATATTCATGACAATGAATTTGCGGCTCTTTATGTTCATCTTTTTCCTCTTTCAGTTCAACTCTTTATCATCATTAATCCATTCATCTCACCGTTAACCTGGACAACATTGAATGGCATGTAAATTGAAGGGAAATGAAAATGTCAATATCAATAGCTGAGCGTAATGAGAGTCTTTGTATTCAACTTTTTTGATCAATTGTATATTGTAATGAGCAATTATTATTGTTGAAGGAAAACAAATGAGTAAAGAGACAATTCTGTGTATATATTATATTGATATATTTATACCTCGTGTTAGTTATTCAATGACATGATGCAAAGAAATAAAATAAAATTGATTTGAAATTTCATTCATTTCTTTTCTTGCACTAATGTGCTCGGATTTGGTGAATAATACCATCTGATCTAAAATAATGATTAAGTTGATTGGTGTGTTGTTTGCGAGCAAGAAACAAGAATCTATTCGAATGTTTGCACAGTTTCGCAAGTTTTCAATACCCAAGTGCTTTAAAATTATAGAATGTCTATTTACACTTATTTTGACAAAAGGCCAAAAAATTCTTGTGTAAGAAAATAGTTGATCTTCTTGATTATTCTGCCAATAAAAACTTTTTCTTGGACATTTATAACTATTTTCGATGAGCCACTTCATGACATAATTTTTTCAATAAAGAACAGTAGTATAGAAACATACGCTTCTGTGGCACAGACCGGAAATGGAAACTACTTCCGGTTCATTAACCCCCCTGAACACCATCTTTCGACGACTTAATTTAACCTTGAATTCTGTTTCATTAACCCCTCTGAACACCATCTTTCAACGGCTTAATTTGAATTTGAAAACACCATAACGGCTGAATAACGGCTGACTTTTACCGGCTTAACATTGAATCAATGCAGGGGCCCGAGCTGAGCTTCCGTTTTCACATTATGTCTATTTTAACCCAGGAAATTCTTGAATAACAGAAGGGGAATGGCTATATTCCCCTTTTGGAATGCTTCTAAAAGTATAAAAGCTGTCAGAGAATGTTAATTATCTTCAATATGATGATGAATGAACTAGTTTATGTCTTTTTTGTTTTAATTGCTTCATTTATCATCTTGATCTTTAAAAAGCATTACAACATTGTTTACAATGAAAGTTGTTAATATTGTAACATTATGGGACCTTGGTGAGAAGGTCAAATTAACGAAAAGGTTATCAAAATTTAATGCTGATGTTATCAAAGACGGTAGCAATTGTCTCTTAATATTTGAGTCTGGTGAGATAATCGCGACTGGTTTCCAAAGAATGATTGATGTAAAAAGATTCATCAAATGCAGCATAAAGCATCAATTTTGATCTTCCAATTCGCTTCAGAAGAGGTGACAGTACAATAACTCTTAATTCTTCGCCCTTTTCTCTCTCTAGTTTGAGCAGCAACTGATTTATATACTCCTGATCTAGATCTCCTGGTGCATATCCCAGAGCAGGAAGGAACAGGATCGACAGTGGTGTTCGAAGTTGAGGTTGTGGATTCAGCTGGTAGTGGTTATTCTTCTATGGGGGTTAAAGGAGTAGGCTCTGTTGGGACAACTGATGATGAATCTTCAGTGAAAGGTAAGGAAACAGGGGCAGGCTCAACAAAAGGCATATGGATTTCACTCTGCGAAATCGGGTCACCAATTTGAGATTCATCTGAAGATGAATCTTCCTCTAAGAATTGAAAAAGATTGAACTTCATTTCATGGTTTACATGTCACAAAAAGAATTAAATGCACTTAAATGATGACTTGACAATATGAAACAGCTGTTTAAGTGTTGTCAAGCAACAAAAAAGAAGATTTAAAATGCGCAAAATTTAATTTTCTGAATGAATAAAAGTTATATGAAGAATTCAGATGATGACATTGTATCATTTTTCATGATTTCTCATTTAAAATAGGTTAAAATAGACATAATGTGAAAACGGAAGCTCAGCTCGGGCCCCTGCATTGATTCAATGTTAAGCCGGTAAAAGTCAGCCGTTATTCAGCCGTTATGGTGTTTTCAAATTCAAATTAAGCCGTTGAAAGATGGTGTTCAGAGGGGTTAATGAAACAGAATTCAAGGTTAAATTAAGACGTTGAAAGATGGTGTTCAGGAGTTTAATGAACTAGGATTCAAGGTCAAATTAAGACGTTGAAAGATGGTGTTCAGGGGGCTTAATGAACCGGAAGTAGTTTCCATTTCCGGTCTGTGCCACAGAAGCGTATGTTTCCATACTACTAAGAACCATTCAATGGTTTTAGCCTATCATTTTTAGTACAACGTATTTTAGCCAATCAGGGAAACAATCAAGTCCACTCTAATCTAATGTACGTATGCTGAAAGCGGCAACTGACCAAGCATATCGATGCTGGATCACTCAAAAGGATAAGATTAAGTTTAAATTGAAGAGGAACTTTGAGCTTGAGAAGACTCTGTTTATTAGCTTCACGAACGGCTCGTTTTGTAGTATAGCCATTGATATGTGAAGTCATTTTTACATTTGTACTTTCATAGCTCTTTCTTTGCCTTTCCCTTTCTTACACTACACACTTTTTTCTTCACGTTTATAAATAATAAAATTATCCGATTCAATTCACTGCATTATATGTGCCACAAAAATTGTAGACTCAATTTATATTCGTCTCCGTATCAAAAAACGGTGTATAAAAATATTGGTTCGATAGTGTTATTATCATTACCATACCATACATTATCATTACATTATCTTATTACTTTTTAACAAAGCTATTCATTGATAAGATCATCAATACAAAAATATTCCAACATAAAATGTTAAATCATAATTATAAGTGATTATTTATGCAATCAAGGTAATTATTTCAATTGCTTCCCAAGTTGCATATGAAGCGATTTTCCTGATGATCTTGAAGTTCTTGAATTCGTAGAATAAGGTTTGATTTGGGATCCATGTACTCTTTTGGGTTCGGATTTTTCGTCTTCTTTACTAAGTACGTTGTTTCTCCGATTTTCTCGATTATTTCGTAAGGACCTTCATATTTAGAGTCTAATTTATAGGATCGTACTTTTTTCTCGTATAAGACTAAGTCACCAATGCTGAAAGTTCTTAGCCTACGTCTTCTTTCATAATTTTTACTCTGCTTTTCTTTCGATTCATCAGAGCTCATTCTTGCTTGTTCCTTGACGGTAGTCCATTCCTTATTTATGAACTCGACATAGTCTGATAGTCTCAGTTCTCTATTTTCTTGATTGATTTAAAATCAACAGGTAAAGTTGGTTCCTTTCCATAAAGCAAGTAGAATGGAGAGAATTGTGTACTCTGATTTGTCGAAGTATTGTAGGCGAAGTTCATCAATGGTAATATTTGAGACCAACTAAGACCATTTGTTTCTTGACAATAATGGCTCAGCATTTCACAAATGGTTCTGTTTATCCGTCCTGTCATTCCATTTGTTTGTGGGTGGTAGATAGTTGACAGTTGCCATCTTGTGTTCATAAACAGCGCAATTTCTTTTATGGTGTCTGCTATAAAATTTCTGCCTTGATCACTCACGATTGTCTTCGGGCAGCCATGTCGACAAAGTAAATTTTTATCAAAAACTTGGCAGTGTTGGTCGTGTCCTTTTTAGCAATTGCTTTCATTTTCACCCACCGCGTAAAGTAATCAGTCTCAACGATGATGTATTCTTTCCCAGCAGATGGCGGTAAAGGACCTAAGATATCGATTCCGACTTTTTCAAAAGGCGCAGACACGTAGATTGGTTTTAAGGGTAGAACGGCATTCCCAGTACCTTTTTTATTGCGTTGACATTCTTCACAATTCTGGATGTAATTAGCTATGTCCTTGGACATTTTCGGCCAATAATATTTTGGTTTTAGTTTTGCATATGTTTGATAAAGACCACAGTGACCCGAAACGACATCATCATGGTAAGATTGCAAAATTGTTTTCACAAGTGAAGCTGGAACCACTGGAACCCAGTTAGTGCCTATTTCAGTCACAACTTTTCTTTGTAGGATACCATCCTGTAATTTATGGTTTCGAATGATTTTATTCCGAATTCTTGGTTCTAATTTGGCGATGTCATTTAGTTGTTGATTCATTAGATTGATAGATTCATCTTCTTGTTCAGTTATTAAAAGTGCAAAGATGTCATCTCCTTGCTCTTTATCATCATCTCCGATGTTGTTGAATTCAGGATCGTTAGTTGGATAGCGACTTAAACAGTCTGCGTCCTTATGAATTTTTCCTGATTTATAAGTTATGGTAAATTCGAAAGATTGGAGGGTCATGGCATAGCGCATGAGCCTAGGCGGTAATTTAGTTTTCGATCTCATAAAACAGAGAGCACAATGGTCTGTTACAATTTCAAACTTAATCCCTTCCAGATAGTGCCTGATTTTTTCAAATGCGTAGATGATTGCAAGGCATTCTTTGTCCGATATTGGGTAATTGATTTCTGCTCCACGAACTTGTCTACTCGCGAAGGCGACTGGTTTCCATTTACCATCGTGTTTTTGTAATAATATAGCACCTAAACCCACATCAGAGGCATCAGTTCTCAATTGTGTTTCTAGAGTGCAGTCATAGTGAGCTAGCAAAGGTGCTCTTATCAAGCAACTTTTGAGATATTCAAAGGCTTCCATTTGTCACAAAACGAACGGAGTTTCTTTCTTTGTTAATTGCGTTAATGGTTGAGCAATTTTAGCGAATTCTTTTATAAACTTTCTATAGTAGGAGCATAATGCCCCAAAAGCTCTTATGTCTCTCAATGTTAACGGAATAGGAAAGTTTTTTACAGCTCGTATTTTCTCTGGATCAGGCTCTTGTCCAGCGTAGCTTATGATATGGCCCAAGTAAAGTATTTGTCTTTTAAAAAAGAAACATTTGTCAGGTTTTAGAGTCAATCCAGCTGCTCTTATTCGGTTAAAAACGGCTTCTAGGCGCACAAAATGTTCCTCGATAGTTTAGCTGACAACTATTATGTCGTCGATGTAGACCAAACAGCAAGAATATTTTAAACCAGATAAGTAACAGTGCATCAATCTTTGAAAAGTACCCGGAGCATTGCACAGACCGAAGGGCATCGTGACATACTGTACATGCCGAAACTGGTGACAAATGCACATTTTTGGCGATCCTCTTTTCCAGTTCAACCTGATGATAACCTGATCGAAGATCCAATAAGCTAAATATTGCTTTGAGTGCATCCAATGAAACATTAATATTCGGAATTGGGTAGGAATCCTTAACAGTGATTGCGTTCAGTTTTCGATAGTCTACGCACATTCTCCAATCTCCTGTTTTTTTGCTTACTAATACAACAGAAAAGCACCAAGGGGAGAATGAATCTACAATCATCCCATTTCTTAATAATTCCGCAACGGTTTGTTGTGTTATTTCTCTTTTTTGTTCACTTTGTGAATAAGATGATTGAGCAGTAGGTGGATGATTTCCTGTTTCGATTTTGTGTTGGAAGAGATCAGTTCTTCCTAGTTCTTGAGCCGAAACAGCAAAAGCTGTATGATATTCATTGCATAGTTTCACTAATTCAGTTTCCACACCGCCAGGCATTCCACTCTCTATGTTCCGAGGTCGTTCTCCATCTACAAAGAATGACAGAGAATGATTTTCCGATTCACTTTCAGGTAAATCTGAAGATTGGATGATGCCTGATTCAGAAGAGACAAAGTCGTTTAGATCGTAAATTTCATGTGACTGTTCGTCTTTTGCCGGTGACTGTTCTTCAGGTGATTGTAGTGAAGATTCGTCATCAGTAGTGATAGATTCAACATGTTTTTTTAGTTCCAATCTTGATTGTTTCATCACCGCAATTGATATTAATTTTTGCTTCGCTCAGTAAGTCTTGTCCGACTAATATTTTGAATTTACGAGGTAATTTTTTCACCACTTGCAACTTAGTGTCGATAACAGCCACCTTTGAACCATCGGTGATTTTCATTTTAACTTTGACTTTACCTAATGTTGGTAAAGGTTTGTTGTTGGCTGCATAGGGGACTGGTCCATCATAATTTTTGACTTTTAAATTTAAACTATCGGCCAGTTCTTTGGTGATGAGTGAGATCTCAGATTCCGTATCTAACATCGAATCTACTTGCACTCCATTTACTTTGACAAATTGTTGAATCAAATTTTCATGTAATATAAAGACGAAAGGGTTTAAAATGTATTGGTCATCTGGTTCGTATTCATAATCAGAAACTGGTTCTTCTTCAGTTTCCTCATCTTGATAGGCCATCACTCGAACCTGTGGAGCTTTGCCTCGTCCACGTCCACGTCCACGACTAGGTGGTCGCCCTCTTTTAGGAGTTGCTGATCTTTCTGTTCATCTTCCCGACGTGTTTGTTTAGGAGCCTCGGCTGTTTTCACTTCAGTTTCTTTTTTCGAGGTAGAAGGTCTGTCACGCCGATTTTTCTGTTTCTGGTGGTTTCCTTTCCACAAAAGCGCGATTAGTGACTGCCGGTCGTCCTGGTTGATAATTACCCGAAGCTAAGGTAGCTTGATAATTATTGTTAGCCTGAGCAATTACTTGTTGATAATTTGGATCATTCATGATTGTAGGTTGTCCATAATTCATTATGGGGGTTGAACCCCAATAGGGTGGGATTGGTTAGATTGGTTAGTATTAGAATTTAGATTATGTTCTACTGGATTTCGATTTGCATAGTGACATCGGTCTTCAGTGTGTCCAAGTCTTTTACAAATAGTACAGCGTCTGGTGACAGTTTCCATGCGCCTTTCATCTGCTGAACCTGAGTTTGTAGTTGTATCTCTCTATTTGGTAGTTCAAAAGGATTCGCACAACTCTGCATTGCTCGTTCTGCCAAGCGAGCTCTCTCTACCAATTCCTGTAACGTTTTTGAATTATGTATCCCTATACCGTATTTAATTTGGGGTAATAATTTTTCTTTGATCATACTTACAATCAAAACTTCGGGAGTTTTTTCATGAATTCGTAGACAGAATTCATGCATTTCATAAATAGAAGCAACAGCAGATTGTCTGATTTTTTAGGTTACTTTGTAAAATTGGGCCCGAATGATGATCAATGGCAAAGCGTATTAAAAGTATGGCATACCAAAGAGCCAAAGCAATTAAAAGCGAAACTACTAATATCAATTCGGATGCTATTATTTCTATTTCGTTCTCATCTTCAGAGTTTATTTCAATAACTATATCTTGACTTTTTGAAAATTTGATTATTGGATAGCTATAAATATTCATAGATAAAGGTTTCTAATGTCGACTGATAAAGCGTCGTTCGTTTCGTAACATAGAAGGGTGAAATCTATTACAGTTTTGTTATGATGGTGATAAAGACTACTACTGGTTGTTGTCTATTATAACGAGGGTGAGCTAGTAAGGCAGTATCTATTGCTTTAATTTCTATATTGTGATAGGATTTAGTCATTTATTTATGGTTTATCTAAATCTAGGTGGTAAAAGTCTATCCGTTGACTGTACACCAGCTATGGTGCAATCTATTATTACTTTATTATTGTACGAATAAACTATAGTAATTGGTTGTTTACCTCCCTATGAAATACGATTTCTTAATGGGGTGACGACAATATTTAATTTTAATTTACCATCAGGTTTCGTCATGGATAACCGTTTCACATAATAATTTTATGGCTTTTATGTTTCCAACAACAAATAAGAATAATGTAATTCTACATGTGACATAAGTATTTACAAGGAAAACTTACTTTATGGTTGATATCTTATCAATTTACCGATTGCCCGGATCTCTAGTAACAGTTTACCAATATGGTTTAGCAATATCATTGATTTGAATAATGGGTTCCTTGTAGAGCAAGATGGTTTACTTTTGTATGGCCAAAGTTAGGTAAAAGATGTCAGAAAAGATGATGCGTGGTTGCATATTTTAAGCTGGAAAAATTTTTGTATTTGGTTAGGTAACTGGTTACACGATTGTCTATTGTAAAGATGTATATAGTTGTGATATATTGTAATTGGTGTAAATAGTAATAACAAAGTCACAAAGAGAGTTTCTCTCTTTCTTTACAATTTATACTTAAGTATAACTTTTAATACTTTAACGTTTATTTTAAACATATGTATATAATATGATGCACTTGTAATTATGGATATAAGACGATAAAGATGTAAATTATAACTTATTTATACTAAAACACTGTGTTAATAACATTTACTAATTCACAAAAAATGAATAAACTAAATCACAAAATGACTAAATAAAATTGGAGGGAAAAACTAAGAGTAAAAATCACTGAAATCTTGCCTCACTCGGCATCGCCACCATGAATGAAACGATTTTCCTCTTGTCTAAGAGAACTAAGTGTTCCCCTTCCTTTATTTGCCTTCTATTTATAATTCTTACATGAAGGGAGGTGAGAAGTGAATCTAAGTTTAAAGCGACCGAATATGGTCCTACTGCTATTTTAGTTAAGCTTTGGCAACATGCATTGCCAAAGCTTTTATCTAGCTGTTTTTAATTGGTACGCATAAGTGATATCAAAACATTTTGCAGCTGATTTCTCTTAAGTAAATATAGCAAAATAGACTTTGTTTGGTGAATATTCAATGCGTCTAGTTTACGTTAATTTCAATTGCTTTTCTTACAGTTATTGTAATTTTATTATTGCTTGACTTTTTCTCTTCATCAGATAATTCACTTGAATACTTGCTAGCTGATTTCTTGTTGGTGAAAATTACAAAATAGGTAAAGATTCGTCTTGTAAGATTCAATGCCTCTAGCTTACTTCGATTTCAATTGCTTCCAAAGTTGTATCTATAAAAATATGGCTATTGTTCACAACTTTTGAGACTGCTCAGAGATGACAACCGTTCTGTTTAAATTTAGTTATTGCTTTGGTTTGTTTTTACGTATTAATTAAAGGACATAGATCAAATTTGACTGATCTCGATTGGTGAAAGAAGATAAATTTTAATGCTTCAATGCGAAATCCTAAGGTTGGAGACGGACTCAACTACTAGGCAAGTTTCATCAATTTAATTATGTTATTCAATTTAGTTATGGCTTTGAATTGTTTCACATCATTAGAAAAGAAAAAAAAATTCGTCTAACTGGACTCGATTGGGCTAAAAATGTTAACGCTCAATGATCCAATGCGAAATCCTAGTGTTTATGGCAGAATAAATTGCTGGAATTGATAATTTATACTGATTTGATAATTTTAATTTGAACTTCATAAAAATTCCTGTTACTCTTCTGATTGTAATAGATAAAAATAATTATAATCGTTGCTTTTCCTACTTACTTAAGGAGGGGAAGGTGAGAGACAAACAAAAAACCTTCTTTACATCAGCTTATAGTCATGTATTAAATCAGTGAAAATAATAATTCATTAAAATAAAACACTTTATGAAAAAAGGAAAAATGTTTTCTAATTGAGAACAAGTCCAATGAGTGATTGAATACCCGTGTTCACTCGATATCGGATTCGGCACAAATGCGCAAATGAATATCAACGCAAATACGAATGCTACCTTTTTAGCACCACTTATTGACACGAATGGGATATGATATTTGTACATATTATGAACGGTGTAAGAAAAAGATTGATTTGATAAAATAATTACAAAAAAATAATAAAATAAAAACATGAAAAATGAACTAGAAACTTGCATTGAGATGTCGGCGTTTCACCCGCGAATGGATAATATCATTATAACAAGCATTTTCTCAAGTTTGGTTTATTTGTTCATATTTATGTGCTCTTACTTGTTTGTTTGCAAAAATGATATCTAATGAACGAATGATTCTGCAAATGGTAATTGATAATCATGTTGCTTTTAATTAGAATCACTAATTTTGGAATGCTTTTGCGTTTGATAAGAGTCAATTAGGCTTATTGATGAGAATATTTTGAAAAAATGAACAAGACAAGATACGCATGGACGAAATCTGCCTGAGTGCTGTGATTGTCATGTAAATTCGAACATTTACTTTCAAAGTTTAAACACTTTCACGATGTTTTCTCAAGCGGTAATAGAGACTTTTGCACCAGGTATGGGTCATTTCAGCAAAAAGCATTTGACCACCAATAATAGTTAATTAATTAATAAAATTATAGTTTATTATTAATAATGATAATCATTAAGAATTACTAATAATTAATAGTTAGTAATGCACAATCACATATTGTTGTGAAAAAATAATGTTCCAACGCATTTCAAAATTAATAGCAATCAAGCGCCGTCAGGTCATTATGAATCACGGTATAGATAGTATATCATTCGGAAATCAGATTAACATCACAGGTGATCTCGTGTCAATTAGTAAAGCTGTTCCAATACTTATTCCAATAAACATTAATATCATTTCAATGACTATCACACATGGAGTTATGTAAAAATCAATAAATACTTCTTGAAAATATGCATTTTAATAAATGTCACTAATAGGTCTTTTCAGAGACTCCAAATACCCTTGGTAAGTTAATTTTTTGGACCCAATTGATAGAATTGTTTTGCAATAATATTGTAACAAAACCCAGATTTTAGTCTTTGAACCTGATGTTTCTGTGAAAGGATCGCTTTGATGATCAAAGTGGATTTGGTACTAAACATTTGACTAAATTTTTATATCGATTGATGATGCCAGGAAAGTTGCAAGTTAACTGCTCGGCTGTTTTAAATTTAGCGTGAATCATTGGGTCATTTTACATTTTATAGTCAAGGATCAGGTTTTAAATTGACTCGCTGGTTATAAAAACTAATTTATGAGCAAAGAGTACGAAAAGGTTTATTATTTTATCTAGAAGTTGCACAGAAAGAGAAAAGATTTCAAGTGAGTTTCATGGTTTTACGATTTTGAAGAAAATTAAAGCAATGTAAAAAAGACAAAAATATCAACGATTTATTTTAATAAGTTGAAAGAACAAGTAATTGCATCGAAAAATGTTGAACCAAAAAACATGAAAATAAATGAGCATGATGTTCAACAGAAAATCAAAGTGAATTTACTGGGCGAAAAGAATGGAAAATTTTGGCAGAAAGTAAATGATATCGAGTTTATAAGTCAATGAACCAGTTCTGATAGGAATCCATGAATGATAAGTGATGCGAAACAATTTGAACATTTTTTGCTTCTTTTCCATTTTCTTACCTTTTCTCTTGTTTCTCAATTTACCTTGCCAGTGATATTTATTGCTATTGAAAGTGTAATTTGTTCAAGTTGACTACAAAATAAATTTTTGTGAATAAAAATTTCATCAAAAAATGGTCACAATCAGTCATGAAACTGGGAACCTGGAAAATGTAGAGAATCAAGTGAGCTCAATTGGCCAGGATAACTGAGATCTAATATTGAATCACCTTGAATTGTGAATAACTTGTTTAATGTTATTTTGTTTTTCCTTCAATCTTCAAGTTTATCCAATTTCAAAACAATATTATCTCAAATGATCTGTTCATTTTGTTTGCAGTAAAAAACCACCAGAAAAAAAATTCCTTTTCCTTTGATTCTGAATACATTTTGGTTGCATTTTCTATCGCATTTCATAGCATCAACAACCATTTCATGATAATATCGACTTCGATGGAATTTTTATTCACTGAATAACCAGTTTTTGCTTTTTTTATTTTTTACCTTTTTCTCTATTCTTGGATTTCTGGTATTATTGGGTAAAATTTTTATTTCATTTTTTCTTTATTCTGTCTTAGAATTTATATCATTACATGACAAATTCAGTAGTCGATAACAATGCATATAGTCAGGATAGTTTCATTGGATGTAATGATAAAGAGAGACAACAATGTATAATGTAACCAGGTTACAGTCGTACATTTATCTGTACATAAAGTGTTCATTTTATGAGCAAAAAATACTGATTCAACAAAAGATTCATCTTTCATAAGCATTTCCATCAATTCTTCTGGCTAAGAATCGATCACAAAAGGATTTCTCTGGAATTCAATTTGACCAAAAAAAGATGCAAAAATTTCGATCGTAAAAAACTTTAATTATGTAAATGGAGTGCACTTTTATGCGTCTACCGATTTACCAAGTTTTAACTCTTAGCAAACAGTCTCTCATTGAACACCTTACAATGATTGATTATGTAGCCAACTAGTCAGTTACAGATATTAAGATCAGTTCAACTCTACAGATTTGTGTCACTTTGAACAAACTGAACAATTTTTAGCTGATTGTCGTGTTCAAAATAAACAAATAACTGTTGAACTTGCAACGAATGAATCAAAACAAATAAAAGTAAAAGTATATTGGAATCAAAAGATAAAAAATATCACGATTTCTAGTTAGCAGCTTACAAAGTCAATTTGTTGAAATTTGTAAATCAATTATTTTTAGTTTAATTAGAACGCTTGTTTTATTAGGTTGTGTAAGTCAATCATGTAACTGTGGTTTTTCAAAACATTTACCACCGCCTGAAATTGAGCTTTTTGCCAGAGAACAGAGCTATAATATATAGCTCCATTCAAAACGGCACATGACGAAGCCTTGACTTGTGGACAATTGATTGTATCTCGAGGATTCAAATATGAACGTCACTTCGTAACAACAGAGGATGGTTATATACTTACATTGTATCGAATAATCAATCCAAATGCTCAAGCAGCTCGAGGATCGAAACTCATTCCTGTTTTATTAGTCCATGGAATTTTTACTTCATGTAGTAGTTGGATGATCAATGGATTTGATGGATTCATAGAGCCATGGGTCGACGGAAAGCCACCCAATGTCACGTCAAAAAATCTTGCCTTTGTTCTGTAATGATGAGTTTGATGTTTGGATAGCAAATAACAGAGGAACTGCGTACTCAAGGAACCACACTCGACTTGACCCTGATACAGGTAATGAATTCCCTTGTGAAATATATTTGACTAACACAAGTACATATCGAATAGATCCAGAGTTTTGGGACTTTACCTTTTCCGAGATGGGTGAATATGATGCACCAGCGATGGTTGATTATATTATTGAAGAGACTGGGCATGGTATGTTGATGCAAATATTATATCTTGAATAAATCATGATTGATTTAAGTTACATTATCTCATGACAGAAAAAATTGTATGGATTGGCTATTCAGAAGGAACTACACAAAATTTTATTCAATTAGCAATGAATCCAGCTGCTGCTGATAAATTTTACCTGAACATTAACATAGAGCCAGGAGCCTTTTACGGAGAATCTAAAGGTCTATTAACTGTTATCCCTCGAAACAGACTCGTTTTTGGAACTTTAGACGACTATGTTGGCCCGTTTTCACCGTCTTTACCTGAATTCGATGCTTTGCTTACCATAGCCACCATACCATGTACCATTGAAGTGATAAAACCAATTTGTATTGAAATTTACCTTTTTGGAGTAGATCGACGAATGATTGATAAGAAGCTATTCCAAGTTTTAACAAGCCAAATTGATACAACTTCAACCAAAAATCTTATTCATTATCTGCAATCAGTGAAATATGATCAAGTAAGTAAATACGATTATGGTCCAGAGATGAATCAAGAAATGTATAGTTCAGATGAGCTACCCAAGTACCCATTTGAAAATGTACCAACATGTAATTTAGTTCTGATTGGTGGATTGAATGACTATTTTTCCGATGAAAAGGACTTTCAAAAGCTGAGAAACATCTTGAGGAAAGGAAACTCAACAAACTTTTGTCCTTGCAAGTTGCAACTCCAGCAACAGACCCTTTATTGATCACGTTATCACCTATCCTGACTGGTCACACACTGACATTATCTTTGGTAACCATGCATATGAATATGCACATTCGGTGATTGTTGATATACTTCGCGAAAATTTACCCTGAAAATACAATTATTAACACTCATTGAAATCATTGAGATCATTGAAATATAACAAGTCGAGGAATCCGATTGTAAATAGATTTACTTCAAAGTGTATTTAAGGATACAAAATTTCATTTCAATGGCTCATCTTTTCCGATGCCAATTTAAGATTGAAATAAATGTTTTTTCAAACACAAATAAATGGACATTTGAACTTTATTTGATGAGATGAACGGGTGTTTAAAATATTCAATTGTTACTTGCAATGAAAATGTTTATTTGAATTTATTGAAATGAAATTGCAATAGCAGAACAAATCTGCCATCTGTTGTCATAATTTTGAAACTTTGACTGGAGACCTCGTCATTATTAGGTAACTATGGAAATCATTTCTGTGCCTGATGACAATTTGTTTTTGATTGTTAACAAATTGTCGATTAATCAGTTATTGTTTGATTCATTGAGATGATAACATTTTAAGTCATCTGTCAATCTGGAAACGCCTTTCCTCTTCTGTTTCCCTTTTTCTAGTGTAATTTTGTTAGGTTCAGTTTGAATTTTGTCGTTGTTAACGGTTAATTTGGTAAGTCTGTTTTAATCACTTTTTTCAATCTTTCAACTTTAATTCCATCCTTTGATTTTTGTGCTTCATTTTTGGTATGATTATTTAATTCTTTCGTTCTTTGTTTATTACAGTTACAGTATTTGATATTTATTTGTATTTTCAAAGCAAAACCATGGATTTAGATTCTTTTGTAAAGATTGAGGATATTGATCCAGCGGCTGATTTTCTTGCCAGAGAACAAGATATGCTTTCGGAGCTTGAAAGTGATTTCACTTTTAGTGTGGAAGCAACCACTCTGAAGCAGGAACCAACTGAATTACCGGACTTGACCATTACTGATGAAAATGAAAATGAAAATGTGGTCATAACCAATATCGTTGAAGAAGACGATCTTACCTCATCCAACCATGAAACTTCAAACAATGAGCCAACAAATACTTTGGTTAATGGTCAAACAAATGGCTTTACTGAAGTCTATACAGAACCTGAAAAAATATCCAGATGGAGGGCTGCAAGTGTCGCAATGTTACAAGAAAAAGACGAAGAAGAGGCTAAAAGAAAAGAAGAGCTTTTAGAGCAAGCTAAAGCTGAATTGGAAGATTGGTACGCTCAATATAACGATCAATTAAATAAATGGAAAGCCAATAACAGGTGAGTCTTCTTCCGATTTAAACGAACTTTAACTTCCTAAACCTTTAATGTGTCAGTTTTTAGATAACTCTTTTTCCTAGAGAAATCGCCAATATCACTATACGTAAATTAGTTAATCCATCGATTCTTATTTTTAATGTTTTCTTGATCCTCGTTTGGTTTCCATGGTTTGCTAATGATTCTTATCTCATCTTTTAATTACAGAAATGCTGAAGCTGAATGGATAGCTGAGAGAGATGCTGAAGTCCCGGGCAAGGAGTGGGAAAAAATTACCAAAATGTGTGATTTCAATCCAAAGCCTAACCAAAAAGGTGCAAAAGACACTTCTAGAATGCGTTCCCTTTTGGTTCACTTGAAGCAGAATCCACCCCTAGAATCTGCTTGATTCAATCAAATACCTCTCTTCTCGTGTCAACTGGAATCTTGATTCAAAATCATAGGCCTATTTAATTAAAACAAATTAATATATACTCACACTTTACGCGCTTGTCTGCAGTCAGCAAGTGTTAATTATTTGTATAAAAAAGTAAATAATTAATCGCTAATGCTTAACGTTTCACTGCTAAGAAATACCTCAATGCCGAAAATCGGAGGATCAAGTAACAATCAATCAATGATTGGAATATTGTAAATGCTGATAACTTTTATCGTTAACATGATAATTCATTCCAGTGTTGATTTTTTTCCTAATAAATTGGTTATAAATATGAATTAGCTTGTTGTCTAAGGATAACTGATAATCTTCAGCCTTCAAACTAATCAATATCTGAAAACTAATCTGTATACGAAGGTGTTTTCATCTTTGAATTCCTAATGACACTTAATCAACTGCTTTGATGCACAATCGAACTCAAATTAGCATAATATTTTTAGTGGATTCAATTTAATTTACTTTCTCCAACATGAATATTAGACAAGAGAAGCTTGAAGAAACTTATCATTGTTGGCTATCAATATTTCATGCATCATCAAAATGGACAGGAAATTAGCATGAGAATTAATTAGTGTATTAGAGTGATACTCATTCGGCTGATCAATATTTTACATTGAAAATGAATTACAGCTGTAAATTGTATTATTTTCAATGTTTACTAGCTTTTGCTTTGTTGTCATAGTGATGGTGAACATATGATTGTCAGTTTTTTGGGTTTTTTGGGTTTTGCTGTTTTTGATTGTTAATTGTTTATTTTTGCCGATTTAATTATTGTTTTACAACTCGCCCTTATAAATTGAGCAATGTTTGCTATTGTAGATGAAATTGTTACACGTTTATTGGATCATCGTTGTTTTACATCAGGTGAATTGAAATTTTTTACTCAACAGTTTGAAGAGACAAGAAATAACCATGAGGTTAAACAAGTTGATCAAATTGAAAAATGTATCAAAGATCTTAGTGAGAACGACTTACCAATGGCCAAGGATAAATTAGAGAAAAGCAATCTATTTGAAATTGAACCTAACAGTAAGTAATTGTTGACTCTTTCCTCACATGATTCCGTTCCTTTGAATATTTACGTTATTTTTCTGTTTATTTCACATTAGTTGACGATTTATTGGAGCAAGCCACGGAATTGATTGACATGGAACACAAGGAGGAGAAAAGACGGAATCGTAAGCTAGCTGAGATAATCATCAAGTACGAAGCAGAAAAAAGTCTAGTGATTAAAGAGACTCAAACAAAAATAGCTGATTTGGATACAATATATGCAGACAAAGCCAATGATTTGAAGAAATATTATAAAGAGTTGGAGGCGAAATGGAGACTGGATAAAGTGCAATGAATATCCAACTTTAGGGTTCATGAAAACAATCAGCGATCCGGTTTTTTCCTCCCATTTTGTTGCAAAGGTCTTAACGACTCGAAGTTATTATCTTCATTCTAACATTTCTTACCGCTTTGATGGATACACAAGTATTATAATCTTCACCAAGCTCGTGTCAAGATGTTCTGAAATTTAACAGAAGATGTTATCACTTATACTATTCTGATAGCTCTTTATTATTTTTTTACGTTTTACTAAAATCTAATATTTAATGTAAAAATTTTCTTTAATACAAATTGGTCACAAATTTACAAATCTAGAATTATAATTTTTGGTCTAACAATATGCATAATACTAATAGTAATGCCTTAAAACTACACGACAAAGTGCCTCAGCTCGATTGACTGACCACATGAAAGTGCATCACCGTAAATAGATTCGGAATCTTTCAAATATTCTTGCTCCAGATGAAAACGAAACAAAAGGCAACGGGATCAATCGTTTTACTATCACATATAATAAGTTATTCATAAAATTGTTAAAAAATTTGCTACTTATACCAAGGATCAGGAAATGCTGGTACAGATTTCAAGGTGCAAAATGTCAGATTTTGATTTCTTTCATAAGATTTTTTACGAAGGGAAAATTCAGTTTAATATCTTTCATTTGGTACTATTATCGTTGTTTCGGGACGTATATATTGCGTTCAGATCGATTCACAAAAAGATGGACAAAGTTTTTTAGAGTTTAACATGGCAAGTCTATGGCAGATCGACTCGATCTGATTTTTGCATATTTATTTTCTCATAGGTATTAAAAATTGTTTGGAAAATCAATCTGTGTATGCCAGAACTGAGATACTAATTGACTGTGGAATCAATGTATACAAGAGTAAAGACAAGTTTAAGGTTTAATTAAGTACAAAATAATGATAAGAATATTTGATGCATAAGTTGGAGGTGAATTACAATCTTTTCGATTTGATTTGACTTACTTTTGCAAATGGAAAAATGAGTTTTGCTTTAGAATTAACAAGATTTTAAAACAAGCAAAGGATTAACGCCAAAGAGTCACTTATAGTTGACATTTTTTGCTTTAGAGAAAACAATTTTTGCATTGCTATTAACATTCAAGGTTTAGAGTTGACTTACACTGATAATAGCTGACCATATCGAAGGATGTAGACGCTAAATTTGGCGATGAATTGGACGAAAACACAAAATTAGTGTGTATACTGTTAATTCAGTAATAATCAGCTCAAGAAATAAAAAAATGAGTCAAGACAGCGTATATTCTTCCATGTACCTAAAAACTATATAGCGGTAAAACTATAAAACGGTATAGCTAAAAAACCCATAGAAAATTGATTTCTTTCGCAAAAATTGTTAATTGTAAAGCAAAAGTTGTTAATTCATAAGCAAAAAATCTTTAAGCCTAATCCTGCCTCAAGCTTAACGGTAATTCTGGAGCAAAACCCGTCTTTCTATGTGCAAAAGTAAGTCAAATCAAATCGAAAAGATTGCAAGCAAAACCAATGCTGTCAATGATCATGAATTTAGCTGTTTCACGATACAGTAAGCTACCAGTTATGAGAATAAATTTTCAATGACCCCTTAATGGGGGAAGATCTTATTGTTTTCGCTCTCATTATGCCGAGAAGAAACTTAAATGTAAAAGAAAAAGAAAATTTAATTGATAAATTGAATAATGGTTTATCTTATCACGATGCTAAACAAGAATTTAAAGTGTCAGTAACTACTGTATTTCGGTGTAAACAAAATTCTGAATCAATCAGAGAAGCTAATACCAGAGGCTTGGGAAACAGATCGAGGTAAGATTTTTTTGTTCCAATATATGCGATCAAGTTGAGTTAACCATTTTTTCTTTACTATTTTTCAGGTTGGAAAAACGAAAATATTAATCATGACAACCTTGTAAAGGAATTTATCAACAGATGTTCGGAGATAGGTTTACCATTGAGTGTAAAATTGATTAGACAAAAGGCGGTCGAAATAACAAGAGCCATTGGAAGAGAAGATTAGAAGTGTTCTCATCAATGGTTTCATAGATTTAGAGAAAGGGCAAAATTAAAAAAGGAACCATTACAGAAAAATTCAATTGATAATGAATAAGTGGATCAATGGAGAGAAATTGAAATACCAAGGATTTTAATCAATTGACAAGATGCATTCATCTTTAACTGTGATGAGAGAGGTTTATTTTGGAGACAGTTACCAATCAAAATTTATTTCATTTCAAAAACTGAGCACAGAGGTGACAAGATTTTCAAAGAAAGAGTTTCAATTATTTTATGTGTTTGTAAAAATGATTTAAAAATGAAACCATTGGTCATTGGAAGATCAGTGAAACCAAGGCGTTTTCATTGGTTGTTTTGAAAATTAAAATGTTGATTATATTGCCCAAGAAAATACCTGAATCAACAGGAATATTTTTAAAGATTGGCATAATGAGTTAATTCTTGATAACATAAAGGTTTACTTGTTTTAGATAATTTTTCTGGTCACAATGTTAACTTCTACCAACTTCTTATGATTTCAATTTTACTCGCATCAACCACAGCAATTACTCGACCTCTTGATGGTGGTATTATGCACTCATTTAAAGCCATATATTTGCATCTCTTTATTAATTATTTACTCGACAAAAGTGTCAATCAGCTAAGTCAATTCATTAAAACTATAAATTCATTTAATGCAATCAAGTGAATTTATAAAGCTTGGATATCAGTTCAAGAAGAAACTGTGACAAATTATTGGTCTGATTTCAAGTTCAATAAACACCAATTCTTTGTTCAGGTTATAAATCGTTCTAGTCACACTTTTCTATTCACAATTGTTCTAGTCACAAATGCAATCTAGTCAATAAATTCAAGACACAATTTCCAACGTATGTTGTAGTTAACTTCACTGGTAAATATATTAGATTTCACTTCACAAAGCTATTGTACTTGATGAAAGATTTCACAATTGAAGTAGACTTTGAAAATACAATTTTCCATCCGATAAATCAATATGCTGTCGTTTCTGCTACCTAAAATTTCTTTCTTTTACTTTACTCTTCTCTTTTTCTTCTCTTTCTCCTTGCTTATTTTACCATCATCTTTTCCTTATTTTTCCGTACCTTTTATCTTTGCTCTTTGCTCTTTGCTCATTATACTTCTCTTCTTCATTTTCTTATCTTCTCTCTCCTTAACTGCTCATCGCCTTATCTTTTCTCTTATCTTTTCTTGTTTTTGTCTATCTTTTGCTCTCAGATCTTTCCATAATCAACTTTTAAGCAACTTTACACCTAACGTTTTTCAACTTTTCCCTCAACTTTGTATAAACTTTTCCAGCAACATTTCATCAACTTTTCATAAACTTTACATAAACTTTTTGCAAACTTTTGGCAACTTTTTACGAGTTGTAAAACTAACATAGCCTCGGTAAAACTTAATGCCTTTTTGGCTTTCTTTGCTTGTTTTTTATTATGCTGTTTAAGGTATAGTTTAGTAATACATGAAAATTTAGAAGATAGAAAGGAAAAAAGTTAAGTAAGCATTATTGTAATGGTTTTGATATAGGTTTATCTTATTTTTTTTAATGCAGACATAAAATCGTCAATCAATTTAACGATGGTATCACGGTCAACAGATCGAATACATCCTTTTTTGTTACATATCGGGAATCTTTTAATCCATCTAGCGCGCTGCATTAGCGAGGCACGTAGCCCAACATCACTACAATATAAGAAATTTTACGATCAGGTCTTCAAAAATATAAGCTAATTAAAGCATGATTAAACTAATCGTACTTACACTTCCGTGCCTTTTCTGCATGAAGCATACATTTGACTCTTCTGATCATGACTTGACATGCTTTCAGCGTAGCTTGTTGATGGAACTTCTGTAGCATAATCCATTTGTCTTGTCAGTTGATTTCTCACATTTTCCGGTAATGCTTAACTACCGGATAGCACTTGACACAGCATTTGGGTTTGCAACAAACATTGGTTTCCACCGACACAAATGATGTTGGTGGGCCTTCTTTTGTGGTCGATGTTGACTTTGTTCTTAATGTTGAGACACGAGGGTTTAGATTCGTTGGCTCTTGAACAAAGGAAGATGATTATGAACCAGTGGCACATTGTTACTGTTTTTTGAATTCAAAGTAATTTTTGGTGATGGTGGTGAGGGTGGTGATGGTCGTACAAGGAAGGGATTAAGAATAGGTGGTAATTTGATCATTGCTCTTCCTGATGGCGATGTTAATGTTTGAGTTGGGAATGAGGTCAGTTGTGGTCTATTGAATGAAGTAATAAGTGATGGTGGTGCTGGGGTTGAGGTGACTTCAAAATCATGTTTGATTTCCATATTGAACTCGAAACTTGAAAAGTATAGTACTGATTCAAGAAAAGTAAATCTAGTGAAAGTGAACTGAGTCAAATGTACTGTGATGACCCAATCAATTTTTGCTTTTTTACGTCACTGATGCAGTGGAAAAGCAATTAACTTCAAGTGTAAACAAGGCAAAGAGCGAACAAAACTAAATAAACATTCAATTTACATCAAGTTACACTCTTATTAATTAATCCGCATAAGATTACGAGTTCGTGTAGGTAGGAGGGCTTAAGAGATGCGCAATTAGATGGCGGTTTTTTTTTATTTTTAATCGTTTCATTAATGTAAATCGTCTGATTATAACATGTGAATTACGATTATTGTTAAGTTTACTGTTAATTAAATTAATGTTAAATATTATTTTTTTATGGATAAAAAACACACTCTAAGAGCCAAGATTCAAGGCTATAATGAGGCTGGTATGACAGCAATAGACATTGCCTCAAAGCTAAAGTTTCATGAGAACACAGTTTACAAATGGATTAATCGAGATAGCGCTGCTGATTTGAACAGGTCAAGAAGACCAACAAAGCTGACACCAGATACAAAAAGATTAATTACCGATGACCTCAAATAAACACAAACCAGCTCTATTAGGAAGTGTACCAAGAACTTGAATTTATGCAGTCATTTTACGTCTACTGACAAGAACATATCACAAATGACAATACAGCGTTATGTCAAGTCTATCGATTGGGTTAAATATGCTTACAAGGTCAAAAAAACATTCTTCCTCAGCGATAACAACATTAGAGATCGTTTATATTTTGCAATGTTTTTACTTAAAAGTGGATACTGTGATATGTCTTTGAATGGTACGTTGATGAGGATGCATGTACTTTACACCGACGAGTCATGGAACCATCAAGCTCCCAATAGACAAAACATGGGGTACATGACGAGCAACCCAGAATCAATACCGTCATTTCATTTACCAAAACATCCGATAAAAATTATGGTAGCAGGAGGAATATGTGCATTCGGTAAAACCGAACTTCATATTGTTGAAGAAAAAAACAGTTGATGGTAAATATTATCGTTCCAAGATATTACCAATTTATTTCAAAACACTTAAAGATCCCAATGTAATGGTAGATCCGGAGATGGCTATCCTAATGCAGGACGGAGCTCCAGCCCATTATTGTGATGACTCCATCAATTTAATTGAAGAAACAATCGGAGAGTACAGTTATTGGGGTGTCGGTATTTGGCCTGGCAGTTCTCCTGATCTCAATCCCATTGAGAATTGTTGGTCGATACTCCAAGATTGTGTTTTTGTAGAGCCAAGACCTACTAACAGAGAAACATTGATTAGAAGAGTTTTAGAAACATGGGAAGCAATTGATAATACTTATCTTTTTAAATTGGTCTACTCCATACCAAACAGAATTACAGAATTGATTGAAAAAAATGGACATCAAACATCTTATTAATGTTTTAATATTTAAAGAAATAAAAGTAAAGAAAACCAACAAAAATATTTACTAAACAAAAAATCAAAACAAACCAAAATTGGTTTATACGCAAGGGAAAATATTTTTTTGCCACCTACACGAACTTTAGTTACACCCTGTATGGAGGTAAAGTGAATTTTTAATAACAGTTTCAATCATTTTTATCACATAAAATATAACTTGTTATACATCATTCTTTAGCTTATCATGTCTAGTTTTTTAATACAAAAAGTAAAATTTGAAATATACAACACAATCAAGTATTTGAGTAACCTTTAGATTGAATCTGAAAATCAAAGAAGCTGCTTTTTAGCTATGCTAATGCCATCTCTTGAGCATGAACAAGACTGAAATCGCGTGCGTTTTTTGCCAAAATATTTGCTTATTTTCATATAAACTAATTTTTTGTTTCATTGTAGTCACAACGTCCATCACAATCAACATGAAAGGCAAGATGACGTATTTTGTGACGTTATTTGTCAGTAAAACATGATTGATTAGGATCATATTACCACTGAGAATGAATTTAGTGTAATTTTGCACACATTATCGAGTTATTATCTTAACTAGGCCAGACGATCGTTCGCCAATATCGGAGCGTTAGTAACAAATTCAATGCAAATGGATCGACACTTCATTTTGACTCTATTCATCATCAGTTTATAATTCGATGTCAATCCCCCTTACTTGTTAGTTTAATCTTAAATTTGCTTGCTTCTCTTTCTTTTCCCTTTTGCTCAATATACTCATTGTAAATTCTGGACAATTTAACCAACGAATATGATTGTTCTCTCTCTCTCTTTTGTATTGATTGTGAACATCTAAAAAATCTAATTACTTATTAACTGGTTTCAGGTGTTATTCAATTTACATCTTTTATATATCAACTTAAATAAAATGATTGACCCACAATTGATACACAGGCTTGATTATAATTAATGTTATTGAGAAACTGATCTCAGATTCAAGTTATCAGCCTCTATTCCTCATCCCTGATGAGACCTTACATGCTCATTCAGTCCCTCAAGCGCCATAGCTTATGCAAAGTTGTGTAGAGTGCGAAGAGTGTGAAGTTTTATTGCTAAATTTTGATATTATATTGTAGCCATATTATGCTGGCTATTAGTAATTCAATCTATAAGAGAAGTATGACTTCTTGTATAATTTGTTATGAGCAAGATTACATGTGCTGCTATCTAAATACAAAACGGGAATGTATTCAGCATAACGGTTTGGTTTTTGTACTCAAATTGGTTAAAATGTGTTTTTAAAGGTTAGACCGGAAACGGAAGTGTTAAGCAAAAAATTCTGCCCTTTCAGAAATTTCTCACTTGCTCAAAAACTATTATGGTCAATTTGAAAATGATTGGGCAATAGCTTTGAGAGTTACTGGAGTGAAAGTGATTTTTTGAGGAAGCGTAGGAGGTATCTTATAGTCTTCGCTTCGCTCAGACTAATCAAAAGCCAGCCACTTTCTGACTTCGAAGTTGGTACGACTAACTGAATGAATTCACTAGCTCATCGAGACAGCATAGAAAATTGCCGTTTTGGTGCTCATAGTGGCACACGGGCTGAAAATTGAGAATATCATTCGCAAAGACACAGCTAACAGTAATAATATATGATAAATAGTTAACTAGCGGAGAAGACATGGTCATGGGTACAGTATGATTACATATACATGATTCTCTGTTCATGTAGCTCTGATTCATTTATTCACAAATTTACGTCAAAAGCATGCGAGTGAGGTAATTTGGGAAAAGTCTATTAAAACTTGCATTGACGAATATCGAAGCCAATTTGATTATTCATAAATCGTCTCTTACAAATAGAAGTACAAATTGCAATTTTCACGCAACTTTTTACGGAAATGTCTCCCCTAAACAAGCTGAAAAGTCATAAAATGCATTACAATCAATGTCGAGTTGGCAGCAACAAGATGACTATTGCAATGACAAAAAATGTATTTAAGCAGATGGTTGTTGTAAGTTGTAGTCAGATATAAAAATAACATTGTAATAAAATATTTACAACGAGTTAACGCGATTGTCAGTGCATTGAAATGTTGTTCCCACTTTTCTTGCATTTTTTTATAATAACTCTTGTTTTATTATGTGATTCCTGTCAATCGCAAAGCAATATTTCTAGACAGTTACCACCACCTGAGAATGAAATTTATGCCAGAGAACAGCGCTATATAGCCTCATTTAAAAAGTCGTAGTTGTAGTAGTTGGATGTTCAACGGATTTGATGGATTCATAGAGCCATGGGTTGGCGGAAAACCACCCAATGTCACGTCAAACAATCTTGCCTTTGTTCTGGGTAATGGTGAGTTTGATGTTTGGGTAGCAAATAATAGAGGAACTGCGTACTCAAGGAACCACACTCGGCTCAATCCAAATACAGGTAAGGGATATTTATTGAAATACTAATCTGTATTCTTGATTAAAACAAGTTTATTTCATGAAATAGATTCAGAGTTTTGGGACTATTCATTTGCTGATATGGGCAAATATGATGTTCCAGCAATGGTTAATTATGTTATTGATAAAACTGAATATGGTATGTTTATGGACTTGTAATCGATTGATTACTGATAAGTTATATTTTCTTATAACAGATAAAATTGTATACATTGGTTTTTCACGAGGAACTGAGCAAATTTTCATTCAATTAGCTGAGAATCCCTCTTTCGCTGATAAACTTTACTTGAATATAAACCTTGCACCAATAGCTTTCCGAGGTAGTCCTAAAGGTATTTCTGGTCTTGTACCGAGTTCAAGGCCTGCTTTTCTGGCTCAGGCAAGTTACGTTGGTCCTATTCCACCATTTTTAGCTGAATTTGATGCTGGACTTACTTTATTTTGCTCAATTCCAATATTGAAACAAATTTGTATCGAAGTTTACAGTAAATATTTCGGACCAGATCGACCAATGATTGATGAAGGACGATTCCAAGTTTTAACAAGTCTTATTGATGCAACTTCAAACAAAGATAATTTACATACCCGACAAGCGGTCTATTATGATCAGATTCGTAAATTCGATTATGGTAACAAAATGAACCTTGAATTGTATGGTTCTGATGAGCCACCCAAGTATCCATTTGAAAATATACCAACGTACAATTTGGTTCTCATTAGTGGACAAAATGATTATTTAGCTACACCAGAAAACGTTCAAAAGTTAAGGAATATTTTAAATGGTAAGAGTCAAGACTTTGAAACTTTGTCAAAAAACCTTAACAACAATATTTTACTTCAACAGGCACAGCTTTGGTCGATTACATGATACCATACTCTAAATGGTCACATACTGACTTCATCTTTGGCAATCAGGCTTATAAATACTCACATTCAGTCATTGTGAAAATAATGCGAGATTATTTCTCTCAACAATCTGGATAACACGACGATGGTTAACATGCTTATTCAAATGCTTATTCAAATCGCAGCCCTAATTATTCAAAATGTTTAATGCAATCTGTGGGAATATCTCGAGCACTTTACATTCAAACATCAAGTTGAGTTTGTAGTCAAGTGGAACTCATAACCTTGATACTCAATAATTATGATGCCTCAATCTTTCAGAGGTTGCACTCTGATTATAAACTAATGTGTAAAGTTCTCGAATTGTTCCTCGAAATAAATTTACAGATCATAAAATACCTTTGTAATAAATGCATCATTAAATAATCAAAATAAAAAGTATTGAGCATGTATAGTCCATATTGTTTTATTGAATCAAAAACAATCTGGAAACAATGAAATAATTAATGTTGCCATTGAGCTTGATTAATGAAACTTAGAGAAGCTGTGAGATTATATTAGGGGCTTCAAAATGTACGCGTGAAAATACCCTTCCTTGAGGTCTATTTTTTTCATTTCATGAATAGAGACACCTCAGGTCAGTACTGTTACGTAGCTAGCGAGGTATGGCGTCAAGTCAATTCTTATACCGAAATTCGGCCATAGTTACGAAAAGGCCTTTTTTGGCTGGACTTGTGGCTTCTGGGGTTCTAAACTCTTGTCCACGTATAATTTTTTGCAATAAAAGAACAAAAAGAAGTCACTAGAGGTCCAAGCATAAGAAAAAAATACATGTTTGACCAATGTTCATCCTTTATTTTTCGTAAGGCCATTTTTTGTTCAGACGTTCGGCAACGAGTGTTGTCTTTAATGAGTGAGCAAAAGCGAAACACGCTTTCATACCAGTTTTTTGAGCCCTGATTATTCTCTTAAGATAATAAATTTGGTATCAATCGATAGTTTAAAGTCTTAAGATAATATTTAGATAGAAATTTCCATGTTTTGGTCAAAAATGTCTATCGCACAGTGTCCAAAAGCAGTACAGTCAACTTAAACTTGTCGTCCGATCCAAAGCTTATTCATAATCTGAATGAGGCCAGATTTGAACTCATTTATGCATTTTCTGATGCCGGCACTTCTCACAGTACCAGTGCCGCAGACATAATTTAATTAGGATAAGTTTTCGAAAAATGACCTCTATTTGCATATCAAGAGGTCAATGACGGCCCTGTATTACACAAAATTAATTTGACCTTTTTTGGCCTAACACATTAACAATTATTTCGATTTACACGATACTTTACACTAATGACCTAGCAAAGCGTACCTTCTATAAAACAGTATTACCGATAAGTTGTGACCTCAAGAACCCTATTTTCACGCGTACATTTTGAAGCCCCCAATATGAATCATGTATTATGAGCAAAGTATTAATAACACAATGAAATAAACTTCATTGTTGGTAAAAGCGATCTTTTTTACGACTTTTGTCTTATACTAGTCATTGATTGGTTTAATTCGCTGCAAAGTAGTTTCAAGTCAACAAATATTGTGATTTTCGCTCACATTAAATGATAAATTGAAATGACCATTGCAATATTGAACTTGAAATTATCACTTCAAACTTAAATAATTGAATAAAGTGGATAAAGAAATGAAAATTTGTATCCATTTATTTTGTTTTGATCAATGATGAAATTGTGTAGATCCATATGATTAAAATTGTATATTAACTCAGAGAAAATTAAAAGTTCGACAAATTGATCGTAAATATTTCGTATTTTGCATTTCGCGTTTGCAAATTGGTTGAAAATTGAAAATGAAGTCGCGAGAAAACATAATAACTCAAAGATCGAAATAATTTTCAGTGAACATAACATGATATTTACCATAGAAATTGATTAAACAAGTGTCATTAATATTTATGACATTAAAAATAAACACTTTTTTCAATTAGTAAATTGTCAGTGTCATGAGTTTCATTGGTAACAAAATTTTCACATAGAAAGGTTTTGAAAGATTACCACTTAAAATGCATCTGAAAAATGTTCAACTATTGATTAACGATAAAATTTTAATATCAATAATTATTTGAGTTGTTAAACATAGCATAACATGGTTACAAAAATATGAATTACTGGAGCAAAAGCTGATAAAAATTGTCGGCCAGAAACTCGAACTGTTTCCCTCTGTACTGATTCAATATGAAACCTCATGAATACGCATAACAGTTGAAGCTGACAGCATCGCATTGGAAAGTGCACTTGTTAACAATGCCTTAGTAATAATTGAGCAGGTGTTAAATGATAATTGCAATAATGAGCAGGAATTGAATTGTAAAAACTGATTGCTGTCACTAACCACAAGCTAATTTAGTTAGTATTTCGTAATGTGGAAATCAATTTACTTGGATTTTATTGTTACAACCCTTGTTTTATTGTGTTATTTATGCAATCATTTATGTGATTCTCAAAATGAGGATAGCAACAATGTTTCAAGACAATTACCACCACCAGAGAATCCGGTTTTTGCGCGAGAACAACTTTATATAGCTCCATTCAGAAAGTCGCATGACGAAGCCTTGACTTGTGGACAGTTGATTGTATCTCGAGGCTTCAAGTATGAACGTCACTTCGTTACAACAGAAGATGGTTACATACTTCAATTGTATCGAATCATCAATCCAAATGCTCAAGCAGCTCGAGGATCGAAACTTATCCCTGTTTTATTAGTTCATGGAATTTTTACTTCATGCAGTAGTTGGATGTTTAATGGATTCGATGGATTCATAGAGCCATGGGTAGACGGAAACCCGCCCAATGTTAGATCAAACAATCTTGCCTTTGTTCTGGGTAATGGTGAGTTTGATGTTTGGGTAGCAAATAACAGAGGAACTTCTTACTCTATGAACCACACTCGACTCGATCCTTATACTGGTAATGAATCCAAATAACGTTAATAATGTATATTGGACTAACAAAGGTAACTTTTATTGAATAGATGCAAAGTTTTGGGACTATTCATTTGCTGATATGGGTGAATATGATCTTCCAGCAATGGTTGATTATGTTATTGCTAAAACTGAACATGGTATGTTTAAGGTCAAGTTATAACTGATTGATTATCCACAAGTTATATTTTCGTATAACAGATAAAATTGTATACATTGGTTATTCACAAGGAACTCAACAAATGTTCACTAAACTAGCACTGGATCCAGCTTTTGCTGATAAACTTTACCTGAATATAAACATTGCGCCAATAGCCTTTGATGGAGATCCTAAAGGTATAGTCAGTCTGGCACCTAATGAGAGGCTCTTTTATCTGGCATTAGGGAAATACGTCGGTCCAGTGCCACCACTTTTAGCTGAAACTAATGCTGGACTTACTGCCTTTTGCACGGTCGAAATTAACAAACCACTTTGCATTGCTGTTTATAATTATCTTTTTGGTCCAGATCGAGCAATGATTGATAGGAAACGATTTCAAGTTTTGACAAGTCAAATTGATTTAATTTCAAGCAAAGATGCTTTACATAACCTGCAATCGATGCATTTCAATCAAACTCGTAAATACGATTATGGTCGAAAAAAGAATCAAGAAATGTATGGTTCAGATGATCCACCCAAGTATCCATTTGAAAATATACCAACGTACAATTTGGTTCTCATTAGTGGATTGAATGACTATTTAGCTTCACAAATTGATGTGCAAAAGCTAAGGAACATCTTAAGAAGAAGAAACTGCACGAATATTAATGATGATTGTCCAGACTCGAATAACAGACCCTACATTGATCACGTAATCACCTATCCTCATTGGTCTCACACTGACATCATCTTTGGTAACCGGGCATATGAATATGCACATTCGGTGATTGTCAGAATAATACGCGATTTCTTTGACCGAACTCAATGAAATATTATCAAAACTTTTGCCTGTAAACTTCGCTAGTTCTGTTCAAATAATGATCCTTGTATAATTACATTTTAAACGAAGCGATGTAGCTATGGACAATAACAGAAATACATTTCATCTATCAATGTCTTTATATTTTTTGCTGAAACGAAATTTTTAATAATCTGAATAAAATTGCCTTTCAGCCTGAATCTAAATGACATTTCTAGCTTTGTTGCAAATACAAATGTGAATTAACGCTTTTATTGAAAAATTTTATTATAATACAGTAGTTCAATAATTTAACAGTAGATCAGTTGAATTTGGATCGATAATTGTGCAATTCAAGAAATAAAACCTAATGATGTTTAATGCAATGATTTGCTTTTGTTGTTAATTGAATGCTTAAAATGCTTCTTTGATGTAAATTGCAACTCTTTTGCTTCATTCTCGTTATGAGCTAGAAGTATTTGAGTTTGTACTGAAGTCTGATCCAAATCTTTCTGATATTCATCAGTATTATATTATAGCACGCAATATATTGCATTTGAAACAAAGAATTGTGTTCTCTGATCAATAGTTTTCAATAAAATTGCGTCTGAAGTTCAAACTTCGATCGCTTATTGTACAGTAATGAAGCCAGATATGCCCAGCAAATTGATGTCTTTGGTGTAATTTTTAATGAAGAACCAGAAAATGGATTTACTTTGGAACAAAAAATTTCATTTCTTCGTACAAATGGATAACTTCTATTTGAGTTGCAGGTCTCTTTGAGAGCGATGGTTACAGTTAGAAGGTTGGAACTTTTTTTTCGTGCATAGAAAGGGCTAGCCAACATCACCGACTAAAAACGCTTCTCGATTTATCACTTATTCCTTCGATTTCGAACAATAACATCGAAACTTTGAACCTCGATAACTCAATAAATACATCAGCTATTAACATAATTCCTTCACCAAACATCATGCATTGCAATGCTCGTGTTATAGCAAAAGAAAAAATCACCATTACGACAAGATCGCCCATGAAAAATGAGTTTCTAAGACAATAGTTTGCTTTTGTTGTCAATTGAATGCTTAAAATGCTTCTTTGATGTAAATAGCAACTCTTTTGCTTAAGTTTCGCTATGTTATTCAAGTACTTGCATGTGTACGAATGTTTGGTCCAAATCTTTTTGATATTCATCGGTATTATATTATAGCATTTATTTTATGATATTTAAATCCAAGAATCGAGTTGATAGCTTTTGTACTTATTGAGTTATAGAGGCTCAAAGTTTCGAAGTTGATGTCTGAAATCGAAGGAAGCAGTGACAAAATCGAGAAAACTTTTTAGTTGGTGAGGTTGGCCAGTCCTTTTTGTTGAAGGTAAACAATTTTCAACTTTCTAACTAATGCCATGGCTCGAAACGAGACCTTTAACTCAAAATCGAAGTTATCCATTTGTACGAAGAAATGAAATTTTTTGTTCCAAAGTGATTCTATTTTCTGGTTTGTCACCAAAGACATCAATTTGCTGGGCATATCTGGCTTCATTACTGTACAATAAGCGATCGAAGTTTGAACTTCAGACGCAATTTTATTGAAAACTATTGACCAGATAACACAATTCTTTGTTTCAAATGCAATATATTGCGTGCTATAATATAATACTGATGAATATCAGAAAGATTTGGATCAGACTTCAGTACAAACTCAAATACTTCTATTAGCTCATAACGAGAATGAAGCAAAAGAGTTGCAATTTACATCAAAGAAGCATTTTAAGCATTCAATTAACAACAAAAGCAAATCATTGCATTAGAAACTCGAATTTCATAGGTGATTTTGAGGAAATAGTGATTTTTACTACTATTATAGCATAAGCATTGCAATTTATGATTCTTGGTGAAGGAATTTTGTCAATAGCTAATGTATTTATTGAGTTATCGAGGTTAGAAATTTCGAGGTTAGTGTCCGAAATCTAGAAAACTGGTGATAAATCGAGAAAAGTTTTCAAATGTTGAGATTTCTTAGTCCTTTTTGTTACCGGGAAACAAGTTTCAACCTTCTAACTACTCTCATCGCACGAAACGAGACCTTTAACTTAAAATCGAAGTTATGCGTTTGTACAAAAAAGTGAAAATTTATTTTCCAAAGTGATTCTATTTTCTGGTTTGTCATTGAAAGTCACATCAATGGCATCAATTCGCTGACAATATCTGGTTGCGTAACTGTATAAAATGCGGTCAAAGTTTTAACTCCAGAAGCAATTTTATCCAAAACTATTGATCAGAGAAGTTTTTTGTTTGCACCAATCTGATTCAATTTTCATATCCCTACAAACCAAGCAAAACTCAAATTTTTACTCTAAAGCTTAAGCTGCTGAATTTCAATTTCTTACTCTGATCGAAGCTGGTTTTTACTAACAGTGTAAGCACTCTACATTATGCAATGCAAAATAGATGTTTGCGTTGAAAAAAGATGGAAAATATGGAAATACGAAGCATTTAAACATACAGCTTCAAAGTTTAAGTTTAAATTTACAGTAAAAGTTTCATTGCAATTTAATCAAAATCAAAGGTGGGTACACAATTAAAATTTCAAATGATTGGATAAAAAAACAAAGGCATTATGCTAGTTTTTCTGTGAATCAAACCGATCCATTAGGGCCATTTCAGACTTCTTTCAAGTTAACTTCTGTCTTCAAGATACTCAGTATTTCCTCTCAAAACTGCCAACCTTTGCCAAATCCAACAGGAACAACTTTTATCGAATCCGTTGAGGATAACATTAAATCAAGCTTTAACCTGTGGACAGTTGATTGTATCTCGAGGCTTCAAATATGAACGTCATTTTTCAACAACAGAAGATGGTTATATACACCAATTGTATCGAATCACCAATTCTTATGCCCAAACAATCCCTGAACGGAATCTTAGACCAATTCTAGTGCTTCAGCTTGGATTTCATTTATAACACTTTTAATGTTCGTAGTTTTTTTTCTTGAGCGAAACAAGATTAACTCGACCAACAATGATGAATAAATATTCAAATTTCCACCTCTTAACATTTACACAGCGCAAGGTGCAGAAATAGTTTTATAATGCCGAGGACAGGTTGGCACATAACTCAGTGAATAAATTGTTAGAATAGAAAGTCAAGAGATTAGTATGATTTCTTCGTCAGTAAAATGGGTTCTAATATGTCACAGTTTTTCCAGCTCAGCATCATTTTAAGTTTTCTTTTAAGTTTAACCCTTTCTTCAAGCTATTCAAGTGTCCCACCTCAAAACTTGCCTCCACCAGAGAATTCGATTTTTGCACAGGAACAGCTCTACATAGCTCCATTTAAAAAGTCTCATGATGAAGCCTTGACCTGTGGACAGTTGATTGTATCTCGAGGCTTCAAATATGAACGTCACTTTGTAACAACAGAGGATGGTTACATACTTACATTGTATCGAATCATTAACCCAAATGCTCAAGCAGCTCGAGGATCGAAACTCATTCCTGTTTTATTAGTCCATGGAATTTTTACTTCATGTAGTAGTTGGATGATCAATGGATTTGATGGATTCATAGAGCCATGGGTCGACGGAAAGCCACCCAATGTTAGATCAAATAGTCTTGCCTTTGTTCTGGGTAATGGTGAGTTTGATGTTTGGATAGCAAATAACAGAGGAACTTCTTACTCAAGGAACCACACTCGGCTTGACCCTGATACAGGTAATGAATTCACTCATGAAATATATTTGACTAACAAGCGTACATTCTTATTGAATAGATTCAGAGTTTTGGGACTTTTCATTCGCCGAAATGGGTGAATATGATACACCAGCGATGGTTGACTATATTATTGATAAAACTGATCATGGTATGTTTATGATATAAATCATGATGAGTGCTGATATTGATGGACTGATGTCTTCTTTTTGCAGATAAAATTGTATGGATTGGTTATTCGCGAGGAACTCAGCAAATGTTTGTTCAATTAGCAGAGAATCCAGCTTTTGCTGAAAAGCTTTACTTGAATATAAACATTTCACCAATAGCCTTTTACGGTGATGCTAAAGGTCTAGGCAGTGTCATTCCTAATGAAAGACTCGCTACTAGGGCATTAGAGAACTATGAGGGTCCTTTGCCACCCTTTTTACCTGAATTTGATGCTGGACTTACTTACTTTTGTTCAGCCGAAATTAGCCAACCAATATGCATTGAGGTTTACAGTTATCTTTTCGGACCGAATCGAAGAATGATTAATAAGGAAATATTTCAAGTAATAACAAGTCAAATTGATTCAACTTCAAATAAAGATACTACACATGATCTACAATCGATGCGTTATGATCAGATTCGTAAATTTGATTATGGTAAAAAGATGAATCAAGAAAAGTATGGTTCAGATGAGCCACCAAAGTATCAATTTGAAAGAATACCAAAGTACAATTTGGTTCTTATTAGTGGATTGAATGATTATTTAGCTGATTCAAAGGACGTGCAAAAGCTGAGAAACATATTGAGCAAAGGAAACTCCACAAAGTTTGATGGTCCTTGTCCAAACTCGAATAACAGACCCTACATTGATCACGTAATCACCGATCCTTATTGGTCTCACACTGACATCATCTTTGGTAACCGGGCATATGAATATGCACATTCTGTGATTTTGGACATAATGCGTGATTACTTTAGCCAGACTGAATAAAATACTGTAAACACTTTATGATAGCAAATTTTACTAATACTGTTAAAAGAATGATCATTCAATTGAATAAAATTAAAAAGATTCAACGAAGCTACAGCAATCATCTAAATTTCGATTTCATCCATTAATATGAATCATTTTGTTACTAAAACGACCTAACGTCAAAAAACTTTATAATAGCAAAGACTAGTACTGTTAAAAAAATGATCATTCAATTGAATAAAATTTAAAAATATTTGGTGAAGTTACAGCCAACATCTAACTTTGGATTTCGATGTCTTTAAATTTGTTGCTGTAAATGAACAGATAAACTACCCTGAAAAATCTTTCTGCAAAAATGAAACAGCTAGATTTACAAAGCTTTCATCGAACACAAACATTTACGCCTCAAAGCAGAACTTTTAAATTACTCGTGTATTTTTGCAAAAACAAGATGAATAATTTGTATTCAATACTGCAGTGGAGACATAAAGTGCTAAGTTTTTGAATGATCAGCAAATATTCAAATTAATACAATAAAATGTTCTGTAAATAAATTTATAATTCCAAGGGCATTTTGGTATGTAATTCAATCAATTAATGGTTGCATTGGAAGCAAAGAATCATTATAAATTTCTCCTTCGATAAAATGGGTTCTACTTTGTTGCAGTTTTTCCATCTCAGCATAATTCCAAGTTTCCTTTTGAGTTTACTCCTCTCTTCAAGTTATGCAAACGTCTCATATCAAAAGTTGCCTCCACCAGAGAATCCTAATTTTGTCCAGGAACAACTTATATTAAATCCGTTCAAGACAACATTAAATCAAGGTCTAACCTGTGGACAGTTGATTGTATCTCGAGGCTTCAAGTATGAACGTCACTTTGTAACAACAGAAGATGGTTACATACTTCAATTATATCGAATCATCAATCCATATGCTCAAGCAGCTCGAGGACGTAACCTCAAGCCAATTCTGGTTCTTCACGGTGGCTTCACATCATGTAGTAGTTTCATGATTAACGGTCCTGGTGGTCACATAAAGGAATGGGTCAATGGTAAACCTCCTCATGATACATCCAAAAGTCTTGCTTTTGCTTTGGCCAATGGGGAGTTCGATGTTTGGCTGGGAAATGTCAGAGGAACCAGGTATTCGAATCATACTCGACTCGATCCATATAAAGGTAAATTATCTTCTCAATTTTAATAAAATTAATAATTTGCATTTGATAACAATTAACCAATTATGGATTAACAGAATTCTAATTTAATGTGCAAATAAATTGTTTTAAGAAACTTTTGATACTATTGCTGCTTACTGTTGGGAAGCTAATCTAAGGCCAGGTCAAAAAGTCTTTCATAAAACTTGTAAGACTTTTAGTGAAAATCTTTCTCCTTTTGCTTTTTTTCAGATCATGAATTTTGGAATTATACGTTCGTTGAAATGGGAAAGTATGATGTAACTGCTATGGTCGATTATATTATTGACGAAACGGGATTTGGTAAGAGTTTTATTTCCACTGATTATTCAATCGATAATCTTAATAATTTTGTTCTTTATTTAGAGAGAATTTTTTACATTGGTTATTCACAAGGCACTATGGCAATATTTACTCTATTAGCAAAGCAACCACAGTTTGCGTGTAAATTGAATTTAAACATTAATGTTACACCAATAGCTTTTATTGGTGACCTAAAAGGAATCGCATCCGTTATACCACGATCATTATTGCTCACGGAAATCGGATCACAATATTCAGGTCCTTTATTTCCCTTTCTCCAAGAATTAGATGCCATTTTATCGATATTGTGCACAAACGATGCTGTTAAACCGATTTGCTTCGAAATTTACAATTACTTGTTTGGACCTGATCGAGAAATGGTTTCACCAGATCAAATAAAAGTACTATTCAGTCAAGTGGATCAAATGTCATTAAAAAATTTTCTGCATTATATCCAATCATTCAAATATGATCAAATTCGTGAGTTCGATTATGGTCCAAAGACAAACCTTGAAGTATATGGTTCGGAAGAGTCACCCAAATTTCCCTTTGAAAATGTTCCAGCCCACAATTTGGTTATCATTAGTGCATTGAATGACTATTTCGCTCCACCAGTAAGCGTTCAAAAGCTGAGAAACATTTTGCCAGGTGAATATTTGCTTCTGAAACAATGCACACAAACTTATATTGTTCATCAATTCTCTATCAACAGATCGGCCTTTTATTGATCATGTGGTTACATGGCCTCTGTGGTCACATACTGACATCTTACTTGCTGATGAAGCCTTTGAGTACATGCATAGCGTTATTATCGATATAATCCGAGTACATGGTGAAGACATTCAAGTTTCACCGGAAATTCGAGGAAAAAACATTTCCACTTCAACTCATGATAGCTGATGTCAAACATGAGCAAATGAAATGTACGTGATGGTTCATTTTACCTAAAAAATAGAGTTTAATGTTCATTATTAGCTTTTATCAAACAGAACCATTGATTTAATAATATTTCAATTTTTTTTCGAACACATTTAAAAGAGCTTTTCATTTTTTGAGTGTTAAAGTTTTGTTGAACATGAAATCTTTCAGGTAACTTCCCTAGAAAGTACTGATTTAATTTAATTTCTTTTAATACGAGAAACAATACAATGATTTGAATTGGCTACTCATGTAGAGACACGAAAATGTCTCTAAAATGTTTTAACTGTTTTCAATGTGTTGACATTTTAAATTTGCAAGTTTAGCTGTGTAAAGATGCAAAGTTAAAGTAACGCAAAGTGACATTTACACAGTGAAATACATGTAAGCACCAAATTAACATTTACATATACATGCGGCTTTATCAATCGTAGTTGAATTTTCTGATATTGATTTGTTTGTAGCAACGAAAGTCAGAAAAAATCAATTTTGTAAACTTATTTTTTTATCTGCTGGATGATTATTTTAACTAGAACGATAAATTGGTACACAATTCAATGTACAAATAGTCGGATTAGATAGCAAAGGCATCTTTTCCTTTTCACTTCCAATAATTAAATTTTCTCCGTCAGTAAAATGAGTTCTAAATTATCGCAGTTAGTCCAGCTCAGCATCATTTCAAGTTCTGCCACCAGAAACTCGACCTATTTTCTTCTGTTTTCATTGAATATAAAAGCTCGTGAATACGCATAACAATTAGAGCTAGCAGTATCGCATTGGAAAGTGCACTTGTAAACAATGGCTTAGTAATAATTGGCAGATGGTGAATGATAATTGTCATAACGAGAAGGAATTGGATTATAAAAATCGATTACTGTCACTAACCACAAACTAATGTAGCCAGTATTTCATAATGTGGAACTCAATTTACTGGGATTTTATTGTCACAATTATGTGAGGCTCGAAATATTATAATAAGCATAGCAACAATGTTTCAAGACAATTATCACCGCCAGAGAATCCCATTTTTGCAAAGACGCAGCTTTATATAGCCTCATTTAGAAAGTCTCATGAAGAAGCCTTGACCTGTTGACAGTTGATTGTATCTCGAGGCTTCAAATATGAACGTCACTACGTTACAACAGAAGATGGTTACATGCTTCAATTGTCTCATACTGACCTTTGGTGACCGGGCATATGAATATAAATTTTCTTTGATTGTGGACATAATGCGAGATTTCTTTAGCCAAACTAAACAAAATACTGTAAACACTTTATGATAGCAAATTTGACTAGTACTGTTAAAAGAATGATCATTCAATTGAATAAAATTTAAAAATACTTGGTGAAGTTGCAGTGAACATTTAACTTCGGATTTTACCGATCAATATCTACAAATTTGTTGCTGTAAATGAACAGATAAAATTGCCCCAAAAATCTTTATCAATAGCTTTCTGCAAATGAATCCTGCAAAAAAGAAACAACTAGATTTACAAAGCTTCCATTAAACACAAACATTTATGTCTCAAAGCAGAACTTTTAATTTACTCGTGTATTTTTGCAAAAACAAGATGAATATTTGTATTCAATACTGCAGTGGAGACATAAAGTGCTAAGTTTTTGAATGATCAGCAAATATTCAAATTTATACAATAAAACTTTCTGTAAATGAATTTATAATTACAAGGGCATGTTTGTATAACATGTAATTCAATCAAATAATGGTTGGATTGGTAGCAAAGAATCACTATAAGTTTCTCCGTCGATAAAATGGGTCCTACCTTGTTGCAGTTATTCCAACTCAGCATCATTACGAGTTTCCTTTTAAGTTTAATTCTTTCTTCAAGTTATTCAAATGTTTCTTCTCAAAACTTGCCTCCACCAGAGAATCCGAATTTTGAACAGGAACAACTTATATTAAATCCATTCAAGACAACATTAAATCAAGGTCTAACCTGTGGACAGTTGATTGTATCTCGAGGCTTCAAATACGAACGTCACTTTGTAACAACAGAAGATGGTTATATACTTGAGTTGTATCGAATCATCAATCCTTATGCTCAAGCAGCTCGAGGACGGAACCTCAAGCCAATTCTGGTTCTTCACGGTGGCTTCACATCATGTAGTAGCTTCATGATTAACGGTCCTGGTGGTCACATAAAGGAATGGATCAATGGTAATCCTCCTCATGATACATCGAAAAGTCTTGCTTTTGCTTTGGCTAATCGTGAGTTTGATGTTTGGCTGGGAAATGACAGAGGAACCAGGTATTCAAATCATACTCGACTGGATCCATATAAAGGTAAATTATCCTGTCAATCTAATTTTCATTTGATAACAATTGACCAATTAAGGATTAATAGAATTCCAATTTAATGTGCAAATAAATTGTTTTAAGAAACTTTTGGTACTAGTGAAAAACTTTTTCATTTTTCTCTCTTTAAGATCATGAATTTTGGAATTTTACGTTCATTGAAATGGGCAAGTATGATGTACCAGCCATGGTCGATTACATTATTGAAGAAACAGGATTTGGTAAGAGTTTTATTTTAATTGATTATTCAATCGATAATCTTAATATTTTTGTTCTTTATTCAGAGAAAATTGTTTATATTGGCTATTCACAATCAACTATTGCAATGCTAACTCTATTAGCGAAACAACCACAATTTGCCTGTAAATTGGATTTAAACATTAATGTTTCACCAGAAGCTTTTATTGGTGACCAAAAAGGAATCAGTTCCATTATACAACCATCATTATTGCTCACGGAAATCGGATCAGAATATTCAGGTCCTGTAATACCCTTCATACAAGAATTTGTTGCTATTTTATCGATATTATGCACAAACGATGCTGTTAAACCGATTTGCTTTGAGATTAACAATTATGTGTTTGGACCTGATCGAGAAATGATTTCACCAGATCAAATCAAAGAACTAGTCAGTCAAGTGGATCAAATGTCACTTAAAAGTGTTCTGCATTATATGCAATCATCCAAATATGATCAAATTCGTGAGTTCGATTATGGTCCAAAGAAAAACCTTGAAGTATATGGTTCGGAAGAGCCACACAAATTTCCCTTTGAAATTGTTCCAATACACAATTTAGTTATCATTAGTGGGTTAAATGACTATTTAGCTCCACAAGTAAGCGTTCAAAAGCTAAGAGACATTTTGCCAGGTAAATATTTGCTTCTGAAATAATGAACACAAACTTATATTGTTCATCGATTCGCTATCAATAGATCGACCTTTTATTGATCATGTGGTTACATGGCCTCTGTGGTCACATGTCGACATCTTACTTGCTGATGAAGCCTTTGAATACATGCATAGCGTTATTATCGATATAGTCCGAGTACATGGCGAAGACGTACAAGTTTCGTCTGAAATTTGATATCATTTCGATTTAAACTCATTATAGCTGATGTCAAGCCTAAACAAATGCGATGCACGTGAGGGTTTATTTTACCTCAAAAAATAGAGTTTCATGTTCATTATTCGCTTTCATTAAACAAAAGCATTGACATATTTCGCTAATTTATTGCTATTTTGACAGTTTTCGGATCAATTATTAAGCACTTTTCCTCCAATTATAATTAAAGTTTTTTTGAATATATAAATTTCATCCAGGTAACTTCCCTATTAAGCATTGCTTTGATTTAATAATTTTTACTTTCCAATTAAACTGAATTGAGTATACTCAATACACAATAATACTTTGTATACACGCGTAGAGACGAGAAAATGCAAACAGTTCCAAAATGCAGCTCAACATGCAAATTTGAATACAAAGTACAAGTAATTTATTTTGTGAAATTTACACAGTGAAATATATGCCGAATCAACATCTACACGCGGCTTTATGAATCGTGATTAAATTTGTTGATATTGATTTGTTTCAAGCGAAAAAACTCGAAACAAATAGTTTTGTGACCATTTTACTTTTGATGAACTGGATTATCTTAACTAGAATGAAACATTGGTATATAGTTCCATGTAGTTCCAATAGTGGAATCGGACAGCAAAGGCATCTTTTCCTTTTCACTTCCAATAATTAAATTTTGCTCTTCATTAAAATGGGTTCTAATTTATTGAAGTTCCATCTCAACATCATTCCAAATTTCCTTTTGAGTTTACTTCTTTCTCCAAGTTATCAAAATGTTTCATCCCAAAAATTGCCTCCACCAGAGAATCCAACCTTTGCTCGGGAGCAGCTTCTATTGAATCCATTCAGGACAACATTGAATCAAGGTCTAACCTGTGGACAGTTGATTGTATCTCGAGGCTTCAAATATGAACGTCACTTTGTTACAACAGAAGATGGTTACATACTTCAATTGTATCGAATCATCAATCCATATGCTCAAGCAGCTCGAGGACGGAACCTCAAGCCTATTCTAGTGCTTCACGGTGCACCCACTTCATGCAGTAGCTTCATGATCAATGGACCAGGCGGCCATATAAAGGAATGGATCAATGGTAATCCTCCTCATGATACATCGAAAAGTCTTGCTTTTGCTCTGGCTAATCGTGAGTTTGATGTTTGGCTGGGAAATGTAAGAGGAAACGTATATTCGTTGAATCACACTCGACTTGATCCCGATAGAGGTAAAAATTTCAATTTCGTTCAGCACTTACTGATCTAGCCATTAACTATTATCCATTACCAGTTTTTTCTGGCCAATATCTTTGTCTGATAAACAAGACATTTTCGAGTGCTTTTTATCCTTACAGCCAAATTAAGTATAAATGGATTGATTTAAATAATATCAAATGAATGTTTATAAGGCTAATAGAAGTCAAAAGTTTTAATGTCAAAAAAATTGTTATGCTTTTAGATCGCGAATTTTGGAATTTCTCATTTACTGAAATGGGCTTGTATGATATACCTGCAATGGTTGATTATATTATTCAGGAAACTGGTTATGGTAAGAATTTTTCATGTCCACTGTTCACTCAATTGATAATTATTTGTATTTTGTTTCCAGAGAAAATTGTTTACATTGGTTATTCACAAGCCACTATTGCAATGCTAACGCTATTAGCCAAGCATCCAGAGTTTGCCATTAAACTGGATTTAAATATTAATATTGCACCAATAGCGTTTTATGGTAACACAAATGGACTGTCTGCCTTTGTACCGCGATCAATATTGCTTTCGAGGATTGGTTTACTTTACTCAGGTCCTTTGATTCCCTTTTTACCATTTGTTGACGCCTTTACATCCATCCTTTGCACAAGCAATGTTCTTAGCTCGATTTGTCTCGAAATTTACAATTACTTGTTTGGACCTGATCGTGAAATGGTTTCACGAGATCAAATAAAAGAACTTCTCAGTCAATTGGACCAAGACTCGTTTAAAAATGCTCTACATGCAATTCAATCATTCAAATATGATCAAATTCGTGAGTTCGATTATGGTCCAAAGAAAAACCTTGAACTATATGGTTCGACCAAACCGCCCAAATATCCGTTTGAAAACGTTCCAACCTACAATTTGGTTCTCATTAGTGGATTGAATGACTATTTAGCGCCACCAGTAAACATTCAAAAACTAAGAAACATTTTGCAAGGTAAATATCTAATTCCATCTCAAATAAGGAACCCTAATTTATAACTTTATAAAACTTGTATCAACAGGACCAGCACTAGTTGATTATGTTATTACCTGGCCTCTTTGGTCTCATGCCGATATACTACTCGGTGATAAAGCCTTTTACTACTTGCATAGTGTTATCATTGAAATCATTCGAAAATATGGCGACAACGTCCAAGCTTCAGAGGAAACTCGATGAAAATTTTTTGCACACACTTTTAATCAACTGTTTTAATCGCGCTCGAATTAGGAAAATACTTTCAGTGGATTATTTCAAAATTTATTTTGATTAATTTAGTATCAATCAAAGTACATAATCATTTTAATTTATATTATATTTGGTTGAAACCCTTGTTTTAAGTTTTCTTATGGTGTCTATTAACAAGGACAAGCTCAATCAAACTTAAAAAATCAACATTCAATTCGATATCTGACTCTTCAATTTTTTATCTAAATTCTACCATGACAATTAAGGAAATGGTACTTGAGTGATGCTGATTCAGCTAATATGATGGTTTGCTAATGATTCTTATCTCATCTTTTAATTTCAGAAATGCTGAAGCTGAATGGATAGCTGAGAGAGATGCTGAAGTCAAGGAGTGGGAAAAAATTACCAAAATGTGTGATTTCAATCCAAAGCCTAACCAAAAAGGTGCAAAAGACACTTCTAGAATTCGTTCCCTTTTGGTTCACTTGAAGCAGAATCCACCCCTAGAATCTGCTTGATTCAATCAATTGCTTCTTTCCTGTAGAATCTTGATTTAAAGTCATGGTTTTGTTTTATTACAAATTCAAAAAAATCGACTGAATTTTCATTTACTTCAATCCTTTTCCAATTTAAATTGAAATAAGTATTTGTTGAGTTTATACATTTTTATCACAAAAATTAACAATAAATGAAAATTTTAATTTAATTGTCCAATCCAGGTAACAATAACATTATGAAAATAAAGCTCATGAATGGCATCAATTGGTTACTTGATGATTTGATGAACTTTGATGCAGTGTAATTAACCACTTTGTGGGAACGTTTTCCAATTGTTTTCATCACCTCCAAACATTTTTCCGCCTTTTTTGGACTTTTTTCAATTTTTTCGGCAAATTGTTTAAACAGCATTGTTACAGGTTTAACGGCTTGGCCATTTTCATTGAAATCAGCATAATATTGACATTTCGAGTGAATATTCCATTCGATAATCTTTTCAATGTGAATATAAAGTGAACAATCACAAACCCAAGGATTATCTGAAAATAATGAAACAATAAATAAACAAGTTAATCATCAAATTAACACATGACAAGTTGTTATACATCACTTAATTATAATCAATCATCACTGATCATTATCATCATTATTAATGACAAAAAACGCAACAAGTCAACAATTGTGACAACCTACTAATTAGTAGAGCATTTTAGCAAAGCAACTCATTAACAAGGCAACATGACAATGCAAAGGTTGAAACAAATGGATTCAATAATTGAATTTGACACTTGAAAAGGAACGAAA